TGGTGGAGGCTCACACCGCAGGGCTGAAGTCACTTCCAGAATTTTCTACACTCCAGGAAGCAGAGGCCGTGAGTGTCCTGGGGGTTTGCAGGGACACCGGGGGAGCTGTTTCCACCCATCACACCCCCCCATGGGCCAGGGGGGGTCCCAGGACCTGTGCCCGGCGGTGCCCCAGGGGACCCAGAGGGCTCCGTCCCCAGGTGGTCCCCTGTCCTGGATGAGGAAACCGAGGCTGGAGAGAGCCCAGGTAGCTGCTGAGAGACCACTCCAGCCCGTTCTGCAAGACAAGCCCCCGCTGACAAGAAGATTTGTGTTTGAAGAGGAAGCCTGCTCCGGGGTCCCCCCCCAACTGCTGGCACACAGAGCTTCAGGACCGGGGTTCAGGGAGCGAGCTGGGCTGGGAGGACACCACAGGGCCACAGGGCCAGGAGGCAGCCACATTACTGGACCTAGAAGGAAGGGGTCGGCCAAGGAAGCGGAGGGTGAACCAGCTGCCCTAGGCCTCGGATGGCCGGTTCCCCGAGGCCCCGGGCTCAGCAGCCCCCTGGTGGCTTCCAGACCGAGGCCACTGCTTCTGGGTTCAGGGCTCCGGGAGGCAGGTCCACCTCCAGCGGGCGATCTAGTGTATGGATCCGCCTGCGAGAGGTCCCGGCGGGGATCAGGGACCCAGGGGCTCCCGGGGAAGTGGCTGGGGCCCCCATGCAAACTCCAGCTCTTCCAGCAGGGTTTGCAGGCCTCCCTCTCATAGGCCCCCCAAGTCCTCCCACAGCTCGAGGACTCAGAGGCCGTGCAGCTGCGGCAGACCAGAAGCTTCCCGGAGGAAAGGGGCGAGCTGTGCAAGCAGCTGCGGCAACGCGGGCGGGTGCGCAGCCCGCTGGGCCACCCGACCCGCGGGCGGGGCCCGGAGTCTGCACCCACGTGCCTTCTGCCCGCGCAGGACCTGGGGAGCGAGGGGCGTCCAGGACAGCGGCGCCCAGGTCTGCGCGAGCTCACCCAGGGAGCCCGTTCCCCGAGAGCAGCCACATGCCACCTGGGGAACCCCAATAAGGACTTGGCTTTCAAACCCAGCGCCCCTCTGAGCGGTACTGGTCAACCGCACCATTTCCAGCCTTCGCAAACCGGAAGCCCAAGGCCCAAGTCGGCCCAGCGGCGTGTCTGGGGGGCTCATGGCGTGTCTGGGGGGCCGCGGCGTGGTGTAAACCGGGGCCCCAAGCTCCCTGGTTGGGGAGCGCGCTCCCAGCTCTGTGCGCTCCCACCGCGTCCTGGCTCTGTCCTGAGCCGGACCCCGCAGGTGTCGCGTGGGCCTGGACCCCGCAGACGGAAGGCACGCAGCTCCTTTCAGGGTTCCTGCTCCGGGTGTGCGCAGGGATCCGCCCGCGGGATCGGTGACGGAGCACCTGTCCCGGCACCAACCGCAGTGCCTCACCTGGCCGCCGCTCCCCACCCACCGGCGCCGCCCGCCGCCCAGCCCCAAGCGCTGGGGACAGAACAGATCCAGACGTCAAGGGGGGACATGAGGAGTGTCACCGAGGGTGGCGGCTGAGCCGGAGTCGGGGGCCCGCGGGGCGCAGGGGGACCCGGGAAAGGGTGTGCAACCTCGGGCACCGGGCTCTGGCCAGACCCCGGGGTTACAGCCTCCCCGCCGGCGTTCCCCGGCCCTGGCCCCGGGGCAAGTCCCGTGCCCCTTCTGTGTTTCCTGGTGTGCAAAATGGTGTAAGAGTAGCAGCCTCCTCCCAGCGCGACCGTGAGGACGGAGCGAAGTAACAACACACACACACACACTCTCGCGCAGGGCCCCACGCCGCCGGCCGCCCGGAATCGCCGGCGCCTCCTCCGCGGCCCTTAGGCTCCTGAACTCCCCCGGGCGCAGGCCGAGCTGCCTCCCAGCCCCGCGTCCCCGCGCCCCCGTTCCCACCGCAGCGCCCCCTCCCCGCCACCGCCCCGGGGGTTCCCCGCGGCCCCGAAGCAAAAACGCCGCCCCTAAGAGAGAGGGGCTGGGTCGTGGGGATGTGAGTTGGGGGGCGACTCCCCTCTCTGCCCCGCCTGGAGCGACCGGCACTGACTGGGAGGGGGCTTAGCCGGGGCTGGGGGGGTTGGCCTAGGTAGAGGCGTCTGCAGACGCCCTCCAGCAAGGAGTGGCCGCAGCCCCGAGATTCTACAGGTGCCCTGCGGGGCAGGGATGGCGGGATTCAGCGCAGCAGCCGCTGGCTTGTGACCGGCCCTCCGTACAGGTGTCGGGGACAGTGATTGAGGGGACCTGTTGTCGGTAAGGCGTCACGAGACCCCTGGTGTAGGTCCCTTGTCAAAGGCCCCATAACACCTACTGATAACCCCATGCAGAGGGGGACCTTGTTCCAAAGTCCGCAATACACAGGGACTTAAAATGCGAGGGGGGCTGGGGGGCTGGGGGGCTGGGGGGCTGGGGGGGGCTGGGGGGCTCCGGCGCCTAGATCAGCCACGGTCGACCTTTCTCCCCTCAGGGCGCAAACAAGCCAATCGCTAACATTCTGCGGCATGCCAAACGCATACTTTTTGCAGGTCTGACACAACAGGTGTAATTCTGACGCGTGCACTCGTCGGCCATGGTGTTGGCTGCTGTCTTCTTCAAGCCGGACACCCCGAGGGACGAGGCCGCCCCGGACTCAACAGTCGGCACGGCGAGTTTTAAAGATGCTGGCGGCTCCGGTTGAAAATCTCGGCCTTAGACAAAGGTCCGGGGGGCACCAGGGTGTTTCCTTAGCGGGGCAGTTCGGGGCAATCGCTGGTGGGTTCTGCCCTGGAGGGGGCGGGCGGGCAGGCGGGCGGGCGGGCGGGCGGGTGGGCGGGCGGGCAGCTCTCCAGCTCTGGGAGCCTCTAGGGGGCTTCCCAGAGCCCCTCGCTGTTCACCGTTGAGTCTGGGAGTGAGGACTGCCCAGTTGCAGGCCCTCCTTGCGCCCTCGACACCTCGGTTTTCCTGGGCCACGTGGCCTGGCCCGCAGGTGGCACCACCAGGTCCTAGCCACCTGTTCGAGTGCACGGGGGCCGAGGGCCCGACACTCACCGCCTGTCCCTGAGATGCGGGCTGTGAGGCTGAGCGGGAGGCTCTGCCCCTGGAGCTCCGGGAGGCCCAGCTCGGAGAGGCGGGGCTGGGAGTGTGGGGGTGATCTCACAGACCTCGGGGGCTAGTTGACAGGAGTCCCGCCCTCCTGCCTGCCTGCGCTGGGAGCTGGGGACCCAGGAGCACGTCGGGGGTGGGGACGCTGCAGCCCTCGAGGGAGAGAAACCTCAGAGCTGAGGCTCCCAGGGAGGGACCCCACAGACCGCCCTGCAGCCTTCGTCACTTCCCCTTTCTCAGTGGGGGTCGCCCCCCCACCCCCCTGTTCATGGCCCTGGGACATCGAGGTGGCTGCACAGGGTCTTCTCTGGGTCCTCGCCCTGCCCCGGGAGGCCCAGCAGGCTCGAGTGTGTCAGTGTGCGCCCTTCCAGCACCCTGGGGCGACACCGCGTCACTCCTGGCAGCCAAGATGCCCTGCTGGGCGCTCAGTGTAAGCGGGGGTGGGGGCTCCTGGGGGTCCGGCCCTCCCTTCCCTGGAGGCCCTGGTCTCTCCTGGTTGGTGGCTGGTGGTGGTGGTGGCAGCGGCGGCAGGTGCTTCCTTTTTTGCTTCGAACCGAGGCACCTGTATGCGCACACCGCACACGCCCGCAGCCCTGGCGCAGCCCCAGCGGAGCCCCGCGTGGGCGAAGGAAGCTGTGACTTCACCTTCCACCCCGCCCTGCCGAGTTCCAGACCCTTCTCGCCCTGTGTCTGCGGCTGGGGCCAAACCCAGTTTTGAATTCTCACCAAGTTTCCTCTCAAATGGGACTTGGGAGTGAAACTGTTAGGCCCTGCCCTCTCTCTTCTAGGGTTCTTCCGCCGGCACTTGGGTCCCTGGCCCCCCACCCCCACCCCCATCCCAGCTGCTGGGCTTCTGCCACTCGAGGCGAAAAGGAAAGTGGTGCAAGGCCCACAGCACCCGGTCCCTGGGCACCCACAGCTCTCGCAGGCAGCAGGATTCACCTGTTGGGCCCCCCTCCAAGCACCTGCCCGGATCTGCGGGAGGGAGCCGCCACCTTCTGTCCTGCCCACGGCAGGCCCCGTGGGCCTGGCTCCGACGACCTCAGGAAACGGGGCTCTGACCCAGAAAACCTGCTCTGCCCCCAGGCGCTGCAGGTGCAGGCGACTTCCCCCCGGTGGCCCCCAAAGCTGTGGTGCAGGAGAGGGCCCAGGGCCGGTGGTCCACGGCGCTGGCCGGGGGCTTCCCAGGGCCAGTGTTGTCCCGCCGCCGCTGGGGGCTGAAGGCGCCGGCTCCTCTTGGCCGGAAGCTCGTTTATGTCCAGCCAGACCCCCTGCAGGGCCTCGGCCGGGACTCGCGCTGCACTTGCGGGGTGCCGTGCGGAGCCCCAGAACAGCCGCCGCCAGGGGCATTACCAGCGCAGGACACAGTTCAGTCCAAGGCCAAGGCCGGCGTGAGCGGGAGTCGGACACGCCACCACCGGGAAGCGGGGGAAGGGTGCGTGGACCCCGCACTAAACCCCCCGGGCCTGGGACCCCACCTGGCTGGGCCGCAGCTGACGGAGGGCGGGAGCCCCCAGCGCCTGGAGCCCCAGCCGCAGGCACCGGCCCTCACCCCCAGGCCCAAAGCCGCCCGAGTGCGCGGGGAGCGAAAATTCCACTTTCCACTGACTCAGCCCTTAAACGGAGAGGACGGGAGTTCCGGGTTAGACGCCAGAAATAAAAACAGGGGTGAGCAGCGGGGACCCCCCCCCCCAGCGTGTAGGAGGGCGGCGTGGCTGGAGGAGGGAGCGGCGGACTGGCCCCTCTGGGTCCCAAAGACGAAACCAGGGGGCCGCCCCCCCACCGCCCCCCACCCCACCGCCCCGCCGTGGAACTGCGCACCTCCCCCACCCCGCACTTTCTCCCACCCGCACGGCTGGAAAACACCTGATTTACTTTAACTTTTATTTAAAATCGCAACACTCGATCATTTATTTCGGTTCTTTTTTTTTTTGCAACCAAACAGGTAATAAATATTATTTAGCACTTTTTTTCTTTTTACAAAAATAAAACAGATGATACACTCTCTGCGAGGGGCAGCGATCAGAGGAGGGATGTTACGTGGCGGGCGGACGGGCGGACGGACGGACGGACGGACGCGGTGCAGCCGAACCGCAGCGCTGGCGGCGCGGAGGTGCTGCGCGGGGGCGCAGAAGCGCGTGGAAGAGTCTGTCATTCGTGTTAAAAAGTGGCGAAAAGAAACCGATGGAGGGGAGACCGGGCTTAGCCTCTGGCAGGGCTGGCAGTCGCGTGAGCTTACCGAGCAGCAGCGCGCACGCGCCTCGTTACTGAGATTATATGTACACATCCGAGAAGGAAAACGTGAAAAAGCCAACAGAATCCCCAAATAACCCGGGCTCTAGTCACAGCGACAGACCGCAAGTTCCGACAAACCCTCGGGGCCCGAGGCCGCCCCGGATCCGGCCAGGAGCCCGACCGCTCTGTGCTCAGAGGCTGAAACGAGGTGGGGAGGGGAAATCTATTTTAAAATAACCAAAAACGACCCGCCCCCCCTCCCCAAGTCGACGGTGTCCGCTTCTTTCAATCCACAAGCGGCTCTGGTCCGACCTCCACACGGCTCCTTCCTGCTGCTGAAAAAGGGCCGAGGACCGCACGCCCTAAACCGATGGCAGCGGCAGGGAGGACCCGCCGCCGTTCTCGGGGGGTGGCGGCGGGTTGACCGGAGTCCGCGACTGGCCGCCACCGTAAGTGCTCCTGGTACCGAGCGCCCGCTTCCAGCTATCTGGGAGCCCTGGCCCGGGTCAGAGGCGAGCCTGCGGGCCGTTCGCGGGGTGCCGCTCTCCGGAGTCCCCGGCCCGTCCAGAAAGGAGAAGGAGAGGAAGTCCCCAACACCCCTCCCCCGCGTAACCACGTGCAGCCCGGCGGGGTGAGGCCGAGTGCCCTGGGAAACCGGTTCTTAGAATCATTTCTTTTGGGGGAAGAGCGGGGGTGTTTGGGGCGGAGTGCGCCTAGCGGTGCCTTCGGATTACATGGTGTCTGCCGGGCGCGCGCTGTGGAAAGCCTGAGGGGGCTGAACCGAGTCCCGGAGCGAATGTCCCTCTCCCTCCCCAACGCCGAGTGCGCCCCGGGGAGCCCGGAGTCCGCACCAGCGAACCCACCCCCAGCCCAAGGTCCTGCGCTCCTCCTCGGAACTGAGCTCCCGGGCCCAGCGCCGGCCAGTGCACGATTCCCCGCAGCCTCCGGGCCCCCCGCTCGCCAGGCCGAGCCTGCCTGAGCCAACTCACTTGGCGTCGGAGGTGAGGCGCGGCAGGCTGCCGGCGCCCATGGCCGACACGTGGTGGTGCGGCGGCGGCACCTGGCACATGCTGCAGGGGCAGGGCATGCCGCCCCAGTGCTGGAAGCCGCCGCCACCCCCGCTGCCGCCGCCCCCGCTCCCCAGCGGGGCCGCCGCCGCGGCGGACGGAGACTTGAGCAGGCCGTGCGGGGGCCGGATGGAGCCGACCGACGACAACCCGGAGCCCGGCAAGGAAGCGCTGGACACCGCGGCGGCCGCCGCAGCCGCAGCGGCGGCGGCGGCAGCGGGAGGCAGGATAGGATGGTGCACCGCGGGGTGGTGCGCGGCGTGCGCGGCGGCCGCGGGGTGCGCGGCGGCGCCGGGCAGGGGCGCGGAGTGGGCCAGGCCGCCGCAGGCGGAGGGGTGGAAGCCGGCGTGGTGGCCGCCGTAGATCTCGCTCACCAGCCGCTTCATCTCCTCCAGCGAGTTGGTGAGCATGAGGATGTAGTTGCGCGCCAGCAGCAGCGTGGCGATCTTGGAGAGCTTGCGCACCGACGGGCCGTGAGCGTAGGGCATGACTTCGCGCAGCCCGTCCATGGCGATGTTCAGGTCGTGCATGCGCTTGCGCTCGCGGCTGTTGATCTTGAGGCGCAGCTGCTGCAGCTCGGGCTCTGTCATCTGCTTCTTGTCCTTCTTGGTGGACGACGCGGCCGCCGACGACGTGGACGACGAGGTGCTGGACGAGGACGACTTGAAGCCGCCGCCGCCGCCGCCCAGCTTGTCCCCGGGGTGCATGCCCGCCGCGCCCATGGCGCCGCGCAGCTCGGCGCTCAGCTCTGGCGGGCAGTCGTTCGGCGTGGACGAGGACACGGTGCCTCCCGTGAAGCCGCTGCCGCCGCTGCCCTTGCTCCGGGCCGGCAGGAAAAGGTCATCGGGCTCCGGCGACGACGGGCGGCTGGACACCAGGCTGGCGTCCGAGTCCATGGCCCCAGGGGGAGTCGCGGCTCTCGCCGGGTCCTCCCTCCCTCGGCCCTCCGAGCTCCCACGCGCGCCTCCTACGGAGAGGAGGAGAAACAGGGGAGAGCTCGAACACGGAGAGAAGTCGGTGAGAGGGGAAAGCGCTCCGCCTGCGCCGCCGCGCGGGTTCCAGGCTCGGCTGGGACGGCCGGGCGCCCCGCGCCCCCTGGCCTCCTCTGGCCTGCCTTCCAGGGGCGCGCAGGCACGCACGAGAAACCGCTCCTTCCCTCCCCCACGACCTCCCCTCCACTCGCATCCACAGGTTGTTTCACTCCAGGGAGCGGCGCCTGTCCCTCAGTGAGGGTGGCATTCACGAGGTTTCACGCCGTCAGCTAGGAACGGGGAGGCTGCATCTCCAGGGCTGGAGTAAACAAGCGGCAAGCGAAGTTTGTTTTTCCTTTGAGGAGCATGAGCTCTAAATAGAGAAGTATTTATTTTGGTTCCTCAAACGCATCCACCTTATCTCCATCGACACCCCAGAGCCAGCACCAGCGCACCCACGCTCCCAGCGCCCTCGCGGGGCCCAGACTCCGCGCGCTGCGCCCCGGCGGCTCCGCGGGGAGCTCGCCCGCCGACTAGGACTTGGGCAGAAGGAGCTGTGGTCGCCCCGACTTCTCGTTCGTGGGCGAAGGGGACGCTGCCGGCCGCGTGAGCTGGAGCAGAGCAGCGAAAACGCCGCGCAGAGCTGGCGGGCAGGGGTGGGATCGGGGACCCTTATCGGAGCGTCCGGGGTCGCAGCGCAGTTGAGGGGCGTCTGCCCCGGGGATGTGTGGGCTGGGGCTGCGGCGGGGCGGGGACACTTACTGCGGACGCAGCTCCAGGAGCTCCTTCCCAGAAGCCGCCGTGGAGACCCGGACTCCGGGCGCGGAGGTCGCGTCGGTCTTAGAATAAGCATCCGCACCTTTCCGGGCTCGGCCGGTTTTTATAGTCCGGCGGCGGCGGCGGCGGCCGCGGCGGTGGCGGCCGCAGCGGGGGCGGGGAACAATGTGCGGGTCCTGGAGGGGCGGCAGCGCCAATGAGCGGGGCCCGAGGGGGGGCGGCCGGGAAGCTGATGTCATCCGGGCTCACTCCGCTCAATGAAACTCGCGGCGCCCGGCACTCGCCGCCTCCCCGCGCGCAGCCAATGGGCGTCCGCGGTGCAGGTTCTCGGGGAGGGACTGGAGGAGGGACCGGGGAGGGGGTGTCGGCGGCGCGGGGAGGTGGGGCGCGGGCTCGCGGGGGAAGTACCGACGGCCTCGCTGTGGGGACCGCGCGCGCGAGAGGGAACGTTGTCAAATTTGTTTGAAAATACGGAGGCCAGCGAGTGGGGCTGGGGGAGGCGCTGGGAGCGCCGCAAACTGGCCCGATACCCAGCGCGGTCAGATCTTTGGGGATGCCCGCCGGGGCTACGGTCTCTCTCTCTCCTCCCCTTCCATCCCCCCTTGGTTCTTCGCGGTGGGTTGTATCCAAACGTCAGCGCTGCAGCCCCCAGTAAACGAGAAGCCTGCACAAAGCGGCGACTGCCCTGGTACTCTGAGCGCGCATCTAGGCGGCGGCACGGAGCGCCCCCAGCTGGTGTCAGGGTCTTGCGAGGCACGGGGCGTGGATGGAAGGAAGGAAGGAGGGGGCGCCTCGAACGGCGGCGTAGCCCCGGGACGCGTTCTTTCCGCGCAGAGCCGCGCTACCCAAGGGCAGAGGCCAGCCCGGAGCTGAGCACACCCCCCTCCTTGTTCTAGCGCCGTGTTTTCAGCACCGGCTCTGTGGCCCTCACCGCGACCGAGGAGGGTAGGGGCAGCGCCCGGGTGTCTGCAGAAAGAGGCCTCAGGCCTGGGCGCAGACCTCTGCTCGCGGAGCGCCGGGCGGCAGGAGCCCACCGCTCGCGGCCGCGCTCCTGCTGCAGGTTCCGCCGGTCGCCGCCGGGTTCTCAGACACGGAAACCCGCGGCCAGGAGAAGCTAAACCCGGTCTGGAGAAGCGCCCGAGGCCGTCAGAGGTGCAGGCGCATTCACCCATCTTCTAGATGGGAAACGGAGAGCGGGTCTGCGGAAAACTGTTTCTGGTCTTCACCGGCGGCGCTGCCTGGTCTGCGGGCGTCTGCGCGTCCTGGCGGCGCTTACGGCCGCCGCCGATCTCCCGGCGGCTCCCCAGCTGCCTTTCCCACGCCCGCACCTCCGCTACCGGAGCGCTTTCTGCACAGCTCGGGCCCCAGGCCCTGGTCCCTGGTCCCTGATGCCGCACCCTCACAAACGGGCCCGGCGGAATGTCATCCTTCTCCGGCTACTTCCGCGGCCTGGGAACTTTTAATTGGCATGTAAGGCTTTTTTTTTTTAAAGCAAACAAATAAACATACTAAGCAATTTGCCTCCCAATTAGCCAAGTTACACACACACACACACACACACACACACACACACAGCCGACAGTCTTGCTCTCAGGTCTCCGGGGAGGCTGAGCCCGGGGCTCTGGCCTCCGCACCAGCCTGGTGCCTTCTGGAGCATTATTTTCTAGCCCGCGTGTTTCCCAGCTGGCTCTTCACCCAGCCGTTAAATATGTATTTAATAAACGAAGAACTGAAGCGTGGGGATATGTCTGCTAACGGTTTAGGAGGGTGACCCGTAACCGTTCAATTAGGATAATCTGTCATGGAAAGGGACTCGGGGAGCGGGGGGTTGGGAAGAAGGAGATCGCCTATTTGAGGATCATTCCTTTGGGCCTCCGGGGCCACCCGCGGTGAGGACATTCGTGGAGGGGGGCGGTGTGCATTGGGCCACCAGCGGGGGGCTGGGCTTGTGCGCAAGCCCGTGTACCCAATAAACACCAGCAGGCGCAACGTGCGCGCGCTGGGCCTCCGCTGCCGCCGAGGTTAGTCCAGCCGGCCGGCGGCACGTGTCACAGGGCCCGAATTCCTTCTTTTGTTGCTGGCCCTCGGTGACCGGCCTGCGTCTCGAGGTCCGCCCGGAGTGCGCGGCCTGACGTTCTTGACGCACTTGCGCCAGTGCGCGGAGTGGGAAGCGGGGAGCGGGGGGCGGGGGGCCTGTCCCGATACAGCGTAACTTTGGAGTCCGGGAAGACAAGTCCGGAGGCAGGAGCGCTGGCTTCCTCGCCAGGTTCCCGCGTGGACGCCCATAAGGACAGGCCCCAGCCCCGTGCCACGGAGCCTAGGAGGCAGTGGCGGCTTTTCTGGGGCTGTGCATGGGCACCTCGCGGTCCTCACTCCCCACACCCCGAGCTCCGGATGGCAGCTCTGGACTGCAGGCCCCTTCTCTTGGCAGCCTTTCCCGACACCCTTCGGCTCCGGAGGTGGGGGCCGACTGTGATTCCCTGGGTTCCTTCGGCGCGGGGGTCCCTGGACAAAACTCTGCTGTCTCCGAGTCCCCCTAACCCCCACCCGGAGTAACCGGAAACTGGAGCCCAGCCAAGGCGCTCCCCCTCCCGCACGGGTGCAGGTCTCCAGCCCAGCGGCTGGCGAGCACGTCCTGGGAGGGTCCCAGGCGCCTCCGTTCCCACCCTGGCGAGGCAGCTGGGACGCAGCCCTTTAGAGCGGAATGGGGCGCTCACTCACAGGGGCTAATCGCTGGGCTGTGGGAGTTCCTGGCCGGCCCAGGCTTCCTGGAGATGTCAGCTTCCCCCCGTCAAAACAGAAGAGGTGTTTTTGCCTCTCCTTTGTGTTTCGCTCCCACAAAAGGCTGGGTGCGTGTGGAGGCCAGCCTCTGCTCAGCCGCCAGGCAGCCCCAGAGGAGCTGGTGCCAAGGGCGGGCGGGCGGGCGGGCTCGCTCGGGGGCTCCAAGGGCGCAGACCTCCCACCGCTTCCCAGGTTCCTCCGGGCCTTTCTTTTCCGTCCTCGCCTTCCCCTTCCCCGAGTTCCTGCGCACACTCAGCGGGCGTCTGGGCCAGCCTGCCAAGGAGAGCGGTGTCCTTGTGGGCCAGGGCTGGCTGTGGGAGGCAAGGCTCTTGGCACCGGAAAGGAAAGAAAAGAGAAAAAGCATTTCAGCCATCGCTCCTGGTCCGGAAACCAGAAGGAATGCCGAATGGCCCCGTTTGGCGCCCAAATCGGGATGTGGCCCTTTGGAAGGCAGAACTCCGCGGACAAATGCCATCTGTCTTCCTTTGCAGACCCAGCCCCCCGAGCCGACCACCTCGTCCCAGCGTCCGGGCCCGACGCGTGGAGGGTGCTGGGGGAATGCGTCTGGGTGCACACATGTGCAAGGGTGTGCGTGGGCTGCTGTGAACCTTGACCGTTAAACACACGTAAACTGGAGCAAAGGTGTGCTGCGTCTATTCGGTGCCCACAGTCCGCTGTGAGGTCTGTCGAACTGGGTTCCTGGGGGCGACGAGGGCCAGGTCCTCCGCAGGGTGGGCCGGACACTGAATGGGGCAAGGCAGGTTTCATCTCCTTTAATCCCTCCCTGGCCCTCAGAGGGACGGGGGACACAGAGAGAGGTGCGGCATTTGGCCAGGGCCCAGTGTGTGGCAGGCAGGTGCCGGGAGGCGGCAGGTGGACGTCAGAGTCAGGGATGGATCTCGGGTTGTGCTGCAGCCTGAGTCCTCGCTCCTCGCTCCCCTGGTGGGCTTCCAGCAGCCCCCCCCCCAGCCTCCAGGGTGTGTCTGCTGCAGGTGTGGGGAGGGCGGAATGACTTCCTCCCCCGGCAGCTTCTCTGTTCTGCTCGTACTCCAGCGTCTGCGAGATGCTGAGAATCCAGGACGCCTGCCCAGGCCTGGGAGAGGCTCAGCCGCAGTGGAGGCCAGGCCTGGGGGGAATCCTGGAGGGACACCCAGGTGGTTTGGGGGGTGGGGTGAGGTGGTTTGGGGGGTGGGGGGCTGCACCAGGCAAGTGGAAGGGAAACTACAAAAAAGCAGTCAAACAAAACCCCAAACGAATGGTCCTTTGCCCCCTCCCCGAATCAACCCTCTGGATCGCACCCCAAGTGAGGCCAGCAGGAGGGCCACCCCTCCCTAAGGGTCGCTGCCACGGAAGTCAGCCTGCACCCCGGGGTCACGGTGGAGTGAAGTCAGGATGGGACTGGGGTGGGGTGGGGTGGGGGGAGTGGGGGGAGGGCAGGGAGCACCCAGGAACTGATTTCTGTAGATCTGAGCTTCCATAGGGGTTAATGGGAGAGGCAGGTCGATCCCATTTTACAGATGAAGATACTGAGGGTCCGAGGGTCCGAGGGTCTGAGGGTCTGGCCTCCAGCCCAGCAGACCCCCCGAGTCCAGGGGCCTCGGTGGCCCTGCCCTGCGCCACCATCTGCTCCCCTCCCCCCAACCCATGGACACTCATCACCCCCCTTCCCTGGCTAAATTAACCTGGAGGGTGAGGGACTGGGTGAAGAGGTTGGGGAGCATCACGGGGGTGTCCTCGTTTGGGTGGCTGAGCCCCACGGAGGCCTGGGGTGGCTGGAAGACGGGGTGAGGAAACCGATCCGTGTAAGGCTAAGACCCTGGGGAGGAGGAAGCAGTGGGCTTCTGAGGGGGAGCCTCTTCCCGACTGCAGGTGACAGCACCCCCTGCCCCCCCCCCCGCCCCCGTTTCCGGAGACAGCCGCGCCTGCGTTCCGCACTGGAGCCTGCGTTCCCGCACTGCGGGCGGTGGGCATGGACCGTCTCCCCTCCGCAAACAGAGGGGCCGTGGGTGGTTCTCCCAAGCACCGGCATGGAGGGCCTGGCTCGCTCGCTGCCCAGGGACACCTCGGCGCGACCTCTCCCGCATCTTCAAGACCAAGTGCGAGTCCGCTAACAGGGCCTGGGGGGCCTGGGGGGCCTGCCCGGCGCCAGCCAGCCTCTCACCCCTCTCCCTCCCGGTCCGCGTCCTCAGGCCCGAGCGCCGGAGGGCGCTGCTCCTTCCCACCTCCACCCACGTGCTCTGCCCGCTCCTTCACGCCCTTCCTGCCGCCTGTCCGTGTCGCCCCTGGGCCCTGTGGTGCTGCCCTG